TGCCACCCCCTGGCCCCTGGCCGCCAGCCCCGTGGGGGACATGGGGACGCGCCGGGGGGCTTCACAGAAGGGGTTGGGGAAGTAGCATTGGCAAGGGCCCCAGCCTGGTCCCAGAGCAGAGCACAGCCTGCTGAGGGCTGGAGGCCATGGGGCAGGAGTGGGGCTGGGGGTCCGGCCATGGCTGGGGTCCGCTCTGCTGCCCGTGTCTGGGGGTGCCTGGGCAGCCCCGTCTTTATGCGGGGCTGGGGTGTGAGGCGACAGCTTTGTGACCGCCTGGAGGTGTTAAAACCTACAGAGTTGGGCTGGGGCCGGCTGGGAGCCTGGGAATACCAGGTCCATTTGCAGAGGTGTCAGTTCTGACTCCTCTGGCCCTTAATTGGTGCTGCCTGGTGCTGGGAAGTGTGCAGGGACCAATTCACACGGCCATGAGAGATGCTAACGTGCTGACCAGCTCTGCCAGAGCCTGCACTGTCCCTCATGACGGCTCTGCCAGGCTGGCTGCGCTGCAGGGGGCAGTGGGGACTTGACCTTTCAGTGCCAGGACCCTGAGCAGCCAGCCCTGACACCCAACAGTGTCCCCACACCTCCCCTGCCCTCTGCACAGCTCCCAGCCTGAGGGCTGGGGATCCTGGGTGTGCCCCCGGCTCCAGCCAACCCCCTTGAGGGCAGGGGGATGCCGGGAAGCAGCAGCCAGGCTGGTGCACTGGTGGTGGGACCAGTGTGCTCCTTTTCCGGGTGATGTCCCTTCACCTGGCCGTGCTGCCTCGGTCTCCCTGACCCCGTGGGATGCAGCCCCAGCTCTGAGCTCCTGGCATGCTCTGGGGAAGCTGGAGGCACAGCCTGTGTGTTTGTGGGGACCCATCGGGCTGTGCCCCTCTGCATGGAGCTGAGGCTTCCTGTGCTGCTTGTCTAGCTGGTGCAAACCCCAGACCCGGGGTCGGGGTCCTGGAGGCAGCGGGCAGCACCATGCTGGGGTGCTAAGCCCTTTAGGAGGCTCCAGGGCAGGGGACCCTGCCTGCGCATGTGGGCTGGGGGAAGCAGCAGAAGCAGAGGGGAGGCAGCTGCTCACCCAGCTCGGGGTGGGCAATGCTCCTGGCTGGAGACGGCCATTTGCTGGGATGCTTTTGCGGCATGCTCTGCTGGGCTGTGCACAGCCTCTGGGCACTATCCCTGCCAGCCATCCCCGTCCCAGCTGGAGGTACAAGAGTGCACAGCCACGTCTGGGAGCCATGCAGACGTCTGACACCCAGGAGGTGCCAGAGCAGGGGTGGCAGGTCCGAGGTAGGCAGCAAGGTGTCCTGGGGAGGGCCCCCAGCAGTGCCTGGCAGGACCCCCTCAGCGGGAGGGCTGGCTGCTCCTGGGGGCACGGGTCTGAGCCGGGCACCAAATGCCTGGGGAAGGCTTTGGCCAGCTTTGGCCGGCAGCACCGTCAGGAGGCCCTGTAGCTCTCCCAGTGCCCTCGCCACGTCCACCCCATGGCCCTGTGCCCACCCTCCATCAACACGGACAGGAGGGATGTGGGGGGACTCCATCTCCCCTGAGGAGTGAGGGGCTGTGGGCTCTCCCCCAGGTGGGCTCTGACCCCACGGCCAGCACTGTCACGGCCCAGCCATGCTCCAGCACTTGTCTAAACACAGAGGGAAGTGGGAAGCGGCTGCCTGGCAGGGCCGCAGAACTCATTACCCGGGAGCTCATCAGTTAATGAGAACCAGGAGGGGGCCTGGGAATGGGGGGGAGCGGGGCCAGGGCAGTGGTGAGGGGTGCGCGGGGAAGCGTCCGTGCCCCAGGCTGTGCTGTCGGGTGCAGAGTACCCCGCAGAGCACCCTGCCACGCTCTCGGGGCCAGGCTGCTGTCGGACCCCTGCTGCAGCCCTCAGCCCCAGAGATGGGCTCAGGGATGGCGTCAGACGTCTGTGCACCCAGAGGTGTGCTGCAGGTCCAGGTTGGCACCGGCAGCCTTGGACCTTGGACAGGGCAGCGGCTCCAGCAAGAGGGCAGAGGGGATTGTTAGCAATTAACTCTGGCGTTTTTGTGCCATGTCTGCAATGTCTGCAGGGAGATAATGGCCAGTTTAGATACCAATATCCTCACAGTGCCTGGCAGGTGGTGTGGGTACTGGGAACATGGCTTGGCTGGGGGCTGGGCTGCAGGGGTGATGCCTTGGGGTACACATGGCTCTGAGCAGCACCAGGGCTGGGTGCCATGGCATGCTTGGTGGCAGGAAGGGACTGCGGCAGGGGAGCACCTAGTCCCTGCGGCCCCTGCACCGCTGGATGCCCAGGACCCTGCGACACCTGACAATGGGGCTTTGAAATGCTAGCGATGCCCCTGCCCAGGCTCCCCGCAGGGCTCGGGCACCCGGGGCTGCCGCAGGGCCGAGCAGTGTGCCCGGCTCCGTCAAGCACGGCGAGGACGGCAGGAGTGCTTGGCCGGTGGTGAGCAATAAGCAGGGTTTATCTCATCACCTCGTGTCATGGCATTGCCAAGGAAAACTGAACAAGCTTCTCATGTGGCCACTGGGAAACACGAGCCCATGAGCAATGAGGCGCTGGCTCACCCGCCGTGTCACCAGCACTTCCCTGGGGAGGGGCCAGCCCTGCACCCCACTGCTGGCGCCGTGCCCTGTGCCCAGCTTCGTGCCCCACAGCCGGCCCTGTGCCCCCTGCCCAGCTCGGTGGCTGATACCTGATACTGGGGGAGCCTGTGCCCACTGCTGTACCCCCGGGGCTGTGCACACCCGGTATGGGGGGGGGTTTCCCGTGCCCACCGCTGTACCCCCGGGGCTCTGCACACCCGGTATGGGGGGGGGGG